CAAACCAATGGTACCATCTTATGGTGCCTTCTAAACCAAACAACTTTTGTCTGAAAAATTTTTTTCTCCCGGGCTTGATTTTCGAGATATTCGACTGGATGGATTAAAATGGTCCACCCTGTATATATTACGACTCTATGTCTTAACACAATAGATTAAAGGAATGGTTATCTTGGTGCTTCTTATAATATCTCTATGTAAATTTTATTACAGAATTATATTACGAATTCTAGTTTTATTATAATATAAATTTTGTTACATTAATATCACAAGTTATTATTTAACATAATATTATTGTCCTTTGTAGTGCGTAAGTACGTAAATGAATTCGGACTCGTTAATTTAATAAATAATCTCTTCATTTGGCGAGTGTTCTAAATTAACCAAAAAACACGGAAAAAAAACACATTCCGTACAAGGTGAGTCACGTTCGGCGAAAACAGCTGATCGGCAGCTGTCTGGCAGCAACAACAGCTGATCAGCCCTGTTTTGCTGAAACTCAGTTCTTGCGAAAAACATCCGGCCCGCAGCGGACTATATAACTCCGCTTTTTCGCGCTTAGCGCGCCTTTTTTTCACGGAACAGTGATTGCGTCACGACGGCAAGGCTTCTTACGAGCTCAATTCCATCCCTCGGCACTAGCTACACGTCTGTACGACTATCGATCGTGCCGAGTCGTTCGAACAGTTCGGGAAGTTGTCCGCGCGACACGAGAAATTTCGGCTTCTGTATATATTGTGTAAATATACGTCTTTTGTGTAACTCGCGTTTGAATTTCTTGAACTCTGTGCCGTCGCTACCTTCTCAGCATCCTCACTTCTCTCAATTCTGAATCGCGGACAAAACATTGTTGGTCCTTCGAGCCGGATAGACATTCCGGTGCACGTTTTGCCGCGATTCACGTGGTGGTGGTGAGTGATACGCGTTGAAGTTCACACGGCAGAGAAGATGAGTCTCGACACGGAAGGCCTCCTTAGAACTCAGCAAGATTTATTTGGGCGTATTGCTCGTGCGCAAGAGAATCTGAGAAAGGCCGGAGCCGCGAAAGTCACACGGGAGCAGTGGAGACGCGAATCAAGCTACTCGACTCCAACTGGGAAAAATTCGAGGCCACCCATGACGTACTAAGATCTAGTCATTGGAAGTCGATAAGCGAGCACGATTACACAAAAAATGACTTCTATGGATGTGTGGAGGAAACATATGTTGCACAACGAACCGCCTTCGCAGATCTACTCGAAGAGTTAAAGGGCAAGGCAGCAGAGGAGTTGAGCGCGTCGCTCTCTAGTCAGGGAGAGGGCTCCGCCCGCAGAACCCTTCCTCGCATACAACTTCCTTCCTTCTCCGGAAAGTTCGAGGAATGGCCAGCGTTCAAGGACCTTTTCCTATCAATCATCCACGGGAGTTCCTCATTGTCGGAGGTGGAGAAACTCCACTACCTGCGAACCTGCCTGAAGGGAGAGGCCGACCAGTTGGTTCGCAACGTGCCGTCGACCACGGAGAATTACGAACGAGTGTGGACCATGCTCACCGATCATTATGAAAACAAGCGACTACTGGTGAGAGCTTGTTTCTCAGCATTCACAGCTCTTCCGAAGATGAAAGGTGAGTCGGTAACGGAGCTTCGGCGACTCTTCCACGGAATGCTGCAAACCATTGGGTCGCTCGAAGGCATTGGGCGCCCAATCACGAATTGCAGCGACTTGTTCGTGCACCTCATCGTGGAGATGCTCGATCCACGGTCCCGACAGGAATGGGAAACGAACATCGGAGGTACCTCCGGCCCACCTTCATGTGATGAGCTCAAGGAGTTCCTGGAAAGCCGACTTCGGACACTGGAAGCTCTACATCCGAGTGGCAACGACTCGTCGGAAAAAACGGGAAACCCGGCGCCTCGCACCGCTCGGTCACATTTCGCGCAGAAGACGTTCAGGCCGACGAAGTGTTCGCTCTGCCAGAAAAAGCACTACATCCTGACCTGCCCTGAGTTTCAAGGGAAGTCAGCGCAGCAGCAAAGGGACTACGCCGAGGCCAACAATTTGTGCTTGAACTGCTTCGGCAAACACAAATTGAGCACCTGCCCTTCGAGGAAGTCCTGTGCGGCATGCAAGCAGCGACATCATAGCTCCATCCACGATGTCTGTGCAACGGCTAAAAGCGATGGAGTAGACGCCCCCAGTTCGCTGCATGTCCACAACACGGAGGGCGAGCGCGCTACCGTGCTGCTGGCAACTGCGAGGGTCACGGTGACTAATAAGTATGGCACTCCGAGACCAGCGCGCGCGCTGGTCACGGAGTCCTTCGTGCAACGGTTGCGACTTCGGCGCTCTCCTTCCTCCACGGTCATTTTCGGCGTTGGCGGACAGGAAACCGGCGTCTCGCGAGGCAAGGTAATGCTGACTCTTACTTCATGCGTTACTTGCGCAACAATTCACGTAGCCGCGTTCATTTTGCCGCGCATTTCGGTCTACGGCGGACGCGTTGGCTCGACCGAGACAACGTGGCCACACGTGCGAGACTTGCCACTTGCAGACCCAAGCTTTCGGTCAGGAGATTCGATTGACATTCTCTTGGGTGCGGACGTGTACTCCGAGATCGTGGAGAACGGTCTCCGTAAAGGTCAATCCGGCACCCCCGTTGCGCAGAGGACATCTCTTGGTTGGATTCTGTCGGGAGTGATAGGCAGCGCCGGGCCACGGGAGCCTGTCGCGTCTCACCAATGTTCGGCCGACGAGGACTTGGCCGCGCTGGTGAGGGCCTTCTGGGAACAAGAAGAGCTCACACCGACTGCAAGACCTCTCGCTGACGACGACCGTCGATGTGAAGAGCATTTCGCGAGCACGCACCGCAGACTTGCGTGCGGGCGATACCTTGTACGACTGCCTACGGGGCCCATTCTGCCACCTCTCGAGGACTCACGGAAAGCAGCATTGCGCACTCTTAATAGCATGGAACGAAAATTCGCTTCCAATGTCGACTTTCATGCCATGTACTCCGAATTCTTGAAGGAGTATGAGGCACTGCAACATATGTCCCTGGCACCACCACCGGAACAAGCGAGACGCCCGCGAACTTGCTACTTGCCACACCATGGGGTCACTAAGATGTCCGGAGACGTAGCAAGGATCCGAGTCGTCTTCAACGGCTCGGCGCGCCTCGCCTCGGGTGACGCTCTCAATAGAGCCTTATTGACGGGACCCAACCTTCTGCCGGCGTTGGCAGACATACTTTCGCACTGGCGGGTGCATCGATTCGCCATGGCGACGGACATCGAAAAGATGTACCGACAGGTCCTCGTTCACGAGGACGATCGAGACTTGCAGCACATTCTCTGGCGAACGAATCCTACCGAACCGATTAAGGAATATCGGCTCAACACGGTAACTTACGGTCTTACCTACGCACCGTACCTTGCCATTCGTACGTTGCGGCAGTTGGCAGACGACGAGGAAAAACGCTTCCCCTTGGCCGCGATGGTGCTCCGGCGAGACGTGTATGTCGACGACATCCTCACCGGAGCCGACACATTGGCAAAAGCTCGTTACTTACGAGATGAATTAATACAACTCTGTGCGGCGGGCGGTTTCCCGCTGAGAAAATGGGCGACCAATGACGACGAGCTGCTAAAGGACATCCCGGTCAATCATCGGCAGCGAGATGGTCTCCTGGAATGGGAGCCAGACACAAGCCATTCCACCTTGGGGCTGCAATGGCATCCGTTGCAAGATGCATTCGCCTATAAGGTACGACCATGCGAGGAGAGGAGCGTGACGAAGCGGGCGTACTGTCCGAAACAGCGCGACTCTACGATCCGTTGGGCTGGCTGGCGCCGGTGGTCGTGCAGGCGAAGATAACAATGCAATCCTTATGGATGCAAAAGATTGGCTGGGATCAACCCGTGCCCGTCAAGGACGAGCAAGCTTGGCGACGTTTTCGACAAAAGCTCCCGCTATTGGAAGGCATGAGAATCCCGCTGGCTTCACACGTCAGAAGCGGACAATCAAATGGAGCTTCATGGATTCGCCGACGCCTCGGAACGGGCATACGCAGCGGTGCTCTATCTGCGGGTCGAGACCGGCGAAGGTAAAATCCACGTATCCTTGCTGCAGGCGAAGACGCGGGTGTCGCCGCTGCGACAAATTTCGCTGCCGCGGCTGGAGTTGTGCGCGGCCGCACTCCTGGTGCGCCTCGCTGAGCAGGCGGCGGGACTGTTCGGCGTGCCGGGGAGGCGTGTTCACCTGTGGTCCGACTCCACAGTAGCATTGGCGTGGATACGCGGCCACCCTTCAAGGTGGACGACTTACGTGGCTAATCGAGTCGCTGACGTGCAGCGAACACTGCCTGACGCGCTTTGGCACCACGTGCCCGGAGAAGAGAACCCCGCCGACTGCGCGTCCCGCGGACTTTCACCGGGCGACCTTGTGCACCATCCTCTATGGTGGCATGGCCCGACGTGGCTCGAGACCGATGGCGGCCGTTGGAGCGAAGTGTTGCCACAACCGGAGTTGAACACGGAGCTACCAGAGCAGCGGAGGCGAGCGCACACCGTGGCTGCACGAGACGACCCGGAGCTCTTGCTTCGATTCTCCCGACTTCAACGTCTACTACGAGTCACCGCCTGGTGCCGCAGGTGGCTAAGCGCACGACGCTCCTCGGGGAGGGGTCATTTTGTTTCAGGTGTCCTATCACCCGCGGAACTAGAAGAAGCCGAGCGGACATGGATTACCACGGTGCAATCCATCTGGTTCGCAACCGAGCTAAAAGCGGTCAGTCGTGGAGAGGCGGTGCCAAGGCGTAGCAACCTTCTACAATTGAGCCCCTTCCTTGATGATCATGGGCTGCTCAGGGTAGGAGGGAGGCTCAAACACGCAATTCTAAGTCAGGACGAGAGGCATCCCATCATTCTTCCACGGGAGTCACACCTGACGGCCCTACTGGTGGGGGCCTATCAGACGGACACTGCATGGGGGGATACAGCTGACCCTTGGCACACTGCGGCAGCGATTCTGGATCCCGGGCGGAAGGGCGGTGGTGAAGAGCCACATTCACCGCTGCCTCCCGTGCTTGCGATGGCGGGCGGCGACCCCTCACCCGTTGATGGGCGATCTGCCACCGCCGCGAGTTCGCGTGTCGCGGGCATTTGCCAACACCGGAGTGGACTACGCTGGCCCCATCTGGCTCCGCACCGCGAAGGGTCGAGGCCACAAAGCCCACAAGGGCTTTTTGGCCATTTTTGTATGTCTGAGCACTCGGGCTGTGCATTTAGAAGTGGCCTCAGATTATACAACTGAGGCGTTCCTAGCCGCCTTTCACCGCTTCGTCTCGAGGAGAGGTCTCTGCACCACTATGTACAGCGACCGGGAAACCAACTTTGTGGGAGCGGACGCGCAACTGCGAGGTTTCTTCCGCGATGCCGCTCGAGAGCGCCACATCGCCAACGTTCTGGGGGCCGAGGGTGTGCAATGGCGTTTCAATCCTCCCGCAGCGCTGCATTTCGGAGGAATATGGGAGGCAGCCGTGAAATCTACCAAGCATCATCTTCGGAGAGTCATCGGAGACACCACTCTCACGTACGAGGAGCTTTCGACATTCTTAGCGCAAGTCGAGGCCTGCCTCAACTCGCGGCCACTGTTGGCGCTTTCAGATGACCCCGAGGACCTTGCAGCGCTCACCCCGGGGCATTTTCTCGTGGGCGCCGCGCTGAATGCAATCCCGGAACCGACGCTCGCGAAGGAGCCAACCAGCCGTCTGTCTCGATGGCAGCTCCTGCAAAAAATGAGGGACCACTTCTGGGACAGATGGTCACATGAATACTTGCAGACACTCAACGCCCGACCGAAATGGTGCAAGAAGATGCACAATTCGAAGGTCGGAGATTTGTGCCTCATACGGGGAGAACTCGTCCCCCCGACCAAGTGGCCCCTGGCTAGGGTCGTGGATGTACATCCCGGACAAGACAGCCAAGTACGAGTGGTCACCGTTAAAACGGTCACCACCACAATCGTGAGGCCTGCGTGTAAGATCGTACAGCTGCCGTCGAACGATGGAGACATCAACACATAAATGAATCACGTCTTAATTCTCGATGGAATACTTCGGTAGGGACGAAACTAACGCATTGCAATTAAATTAATATACGGTATCTCACCGCGCACAACCAACTCACATTTTGTCAGAGCACTGACGAGGCGGGCGGAATGTTCTAAATTAACCAAAAAACACGAAAAAAAAACACATTCTATACAAGGTGAGTCACGTTCAGCGAAAACAGCTGATCGGCAGCTGTCTGGCAACAACAACAGCTGATCAGCCCTGTTTTGCTGAAACTCCGTTCTTGCGAAAAACATCCGGCCCGCAGCGGACTATATAACTCCGCTTTTTCGCGCTTAGC